CCCAACCAGTGGTTGAGGCATCAGTATAAATAACAATCTCATACTCGCTGTGTTGCACGACATTAAATGCACTCGGGAGAGAAACTGACCACCAATGTAGGTCTTCAATAGAAGACGAAGATAAGGTCATAGAACTATTAAAATTCCCTTTACTCTTCTTTAGGGCTTCATTTTTATCCATGTCAATGCTGCGATAATGCAGTGGGCCGTACATGACAGCAGGAAAGCTTGCTGTCATCATGCCAACAAGTGATGCAATTTCTTGAACAGTAGACTTGGGTTTTTTAAGTATGTCAACACAAAGCTTAATCAATCTGTCTGTTTTCTCTGGAGTTAAATATATTTTCATCTCTTTCGAATCCAGAATAAACCCAAGATATGTTAATCGTTGAGTTGGGATCAGAACAGATTTCTCAGGGTGAGTGATTAAACCTAGGGAATCAAACATATGCACAGTGACTTTGACATTTGCAACACAATCAGCAAAGTCATCACCCTGTAGGTAGGAATCATCAATATACCCGGATGATTCATATCCCTGTTGTCTTAGGTTTGCATAAACAGGTTTCAACAGTTTAGTGAACATACGGGGGCAACATGCAAGTCCATTAGGGAAACATACAAATTTGTATAGTTGCCCATCCCAAATAAACTTTAAGTATTTTTGATCAGTAGATGCGATAGGTACGGAATAGTACGCATCTTTGAAATCCACTGAAGCCATAAAGCAAAGTGGTTTCATCATACTAATAGCAGATGCTAAAGTGTCCATTTTAAAATGATGATAGGCCACATGTTCATTAAATTGTTTAAGGTTTAAAATCATGCGATACGACCCATCTTTTTTAGGAATAATAAAGATGGGTGAAATATATTCCCCAGGTTCAGTAACACTGGGTACAATGACACCTTTAGCAAGTAGGCTTTTTATTTCAGAATCAATGACCAGCCTTTCTTTGCTACTAAACAATTTTTTCTGTTGGCATTTTACCTGAAAAGGGGTTGACGAGAGTTCTATGTGTGCCCCCGTCACCATATCTAAAATAAATTTATCCGATGTTAACAATTTCCATTGTTCAGCATAAGATGACAATCTACCAGCTTGAAAATTAGAAACTTTATTTTTAAGATATTCTAAAAGGTCAGGTATAAAGGAAACATAATCCTGTACCTGTACTGTAGTAAGTTTGTTTAAGATTTGTTCTTTCTCCATTGCTTTTGTCTGTACGGAGGCCGGTCCTGCCTGTCCCCTCGCCCCCCCAAAAAAGGACCCTTGGGTTTATTTTTCCAGGGCTCTTTGCCTTTTGCAGGCGGTCTTGGGGATTCTGAAGCCATAGTGTTACCAATCTTGTTTGAGGCTTTTATGTTGTTCAGTTGAGACTGAAGCTCGTCGCCAAACAGGAACTCTGTAACTGGGCCCTGTGGTGAACAAAGTGTGGCATACTCTTTGTTTAAGAATGGTTTAATAGCTTGTCGCCGGTGCATGGACAATTGATGAGTGGCATGACCAAGCAATGCCACAGCATCAGCATTCATAGTCAACAGCTTTCCCAAATCAGGACCAGTTGTGCCTGAGGGAGTTGTTAGCAATATTTCAGCTAACTGTGTTAAAGCTGTTCCAGCTTTTACAATGGCCCTTTGGATGCTGGCCATGTGAAGGTCTTGTCTTGAAGCTGGGCGGTTTAATTTCATCCATATTTCAGGATTAACCTTTGGTACTGCGAGCTTAGCGCAGTTATCTGGACGCAAGTACTGCCCCAGTTTTTCTTTTAGTTTCTCTTCACCTAAGGGCGCCGAAAAACGTTTATTTACGATCTCAGCAAGCTTCTCGGTTACGGCACCTGAAGTATTTTCATCCTCGTCAAAGTCACTCGCAATTTGACTGAGCAAATTCGAGGGCTCGACCGTCGATGTGGTCGTTTCATCTTTTGGCGCCATAATTGCTCGGAGTTCTGATGAATCGCTGTGTGTTGCATCGTTATTTCTGGCGAGTCAGCATCGCCATCATCATCTTCCCCCAGCAAAACAGTCTCTTCTGCAACGGAAATATCGCCAGTCTGAGCAGTTTCAGAGTATTTTTCGCTATTTTCTGCCATAATAAAATTTTTTGAAGAACCTTACTCCTCGAAGGAAAGTACGCTATGAACCTCGTGGATCGCGCGCGCTCTCACGTGACTCCTTAGCGACTGAGACCAATGATGAAGTAGAATTTAATACGAGCAGGCCTTTGTATACCATGATGACAAAATTTACCAAAAGCCTATTCACAATGTCCTTGTCCTTGAGACCCGAGTTACACGATACTACCGTATTCTGTGTTCACGACAGTTTCAGGAATATTTACATTTTTAACATGTACAGTTTCAGGAATATCTTAACACTTAGTTGTGATGTGATAAAATACCGTTAAAAGAGGCATTTTACGAGCAGATATTACTCCTGAACGGCATATGTTGATGTCGTAAGAAGGTCGTATGACTGCATGAGCGTTCCTAGGTATATTGTATCAAAATGCGAATAATACAAAGATGTCATGTGAGATGTCGTGACTTTCAGGCCCCGTTTGCACTATACCGGATTGCTATCGGAGTGGGTCAAATTTTGTAGGTATCGAAAGGCTGTGAAGATTTTTAATCTCAGAGACCCAACTAAACATGCCAATTCTGTCAAACAAATAAGCATTTGCTACTAACCATTGCTCCGTAGCGGCAAAAGAAGATGTCGTGACCAGCGAATCCGGTATAGTGTAAACAGGGCCTCGTTGCCAATGTGTTAAAGTGAAAATTCAAATTTCTATCCCAGTTCAGAAAAGAATTCTGATTATGTTGAGTTTGGCGCCGAAGTTAATAAGAAGACTAGAAGCCAACGTGGCCACTGGAAAACAACGTGAAAAGCGGATTGATGCATATTTATGTATTATATTTGACCTTTTCCTAGTCATATAATTCACTTAAGTCTGCCTACCTTTTGATAACATCCTTGCGGCGCTCATTCTTAAAGTGGCAGAAGATAACACCTAAATTCTTCAGAATTGTATCAAGAGTTGGTCTGAAGGAAGCTTCGTGTTTCTGCGAAAAGGTTGCAACGGGGGTCAGATGCCGCCAAAGATTACACAAATCAGTGTTTCCACAACGGACCATTAGAATTTTTTTCTTTACGTTACCTTAGAATTTTCTTGAATTTCCTTGAAATGAGATGCAATTTCCTTGAAAGGAGATGTAATTTCCTTGAAAGGAGATGTAATTTCCTTGAAAGGATATGCTTGCCCGAAGGGGACAAAATTACGAACATGTACATATCATTTCCATTACGCAAATATCATTTCCATATGTCCAAATATCAGTTTCAATCCAAATTCGTCGAAGTTGAGAAAAAAATCGTCAAAGTCCAGTACAAAATCGTCAAAGTCGAGGACAAATTCGTCGAAGTCGAGTTGAAATTCGTCGAAGTCGAGTTGAAATTCGTCGAAGTCGAGTTGAAATTCGTTGAAGTGGAAGTTGAAATTCGCCGAAGTGGAAGTTGAAATTCGTCGAAGTCGACAAACAAATCGTCGAAGTCGAATGCTAAAACATTTCTTCGTCCAGTATGATAATTTTTTTGCTGCCGAGCGAAGCGATGGCAGCCACCTATTCTTGACAACGTTTACAGTTTTTACTCGTGCCAGATCCCCGCGCGACTTATGTATTTTAGCCAAAGCATTTGAGATTTGTTTGTCGTTCGTTCGTTCGTTCGATCATTCGGGTCGCATTTTCTGACGTCACAGAATTCGAATGACGTTGTGTACAAATTTATATACGCAGGAAGTTTACGATGACTATCCGATCACTTCCGAAAGCTGCGTTCGGTGCGCCGTAGCTTCATAGGAGCTATGACATTTAATTTTGACATGACCATATGGCAATGTAGTCTCCTATGCAGACCTACTTTAGCGGGTTTGGGCCCGCCACGTACGGTCTGCTTACTTTGGCTAGCAATTCGCCTTCCCCTTATATTCCATTAGCCAATAGCATTCAAATACACAAGACAACGCACACTTTGAATGCCAACTGTAAACAAGGAGCTTGCCACGTGCGATAATCGAATAATAATACGGTATATACGTATTTTATAAATGGCCGTAAATGTGAACAGATCAAGTTTTCTGATCAATAGCAGTCGAAGTAGAAAATATTGAATATTTTTCCAACGAAAGTACGCGATAGATAGGTCGAAGGCTTAAATGTATATAAAACTATTCACTGGTAAATATACTTGTTTTGAACTTGACGCGACTGTGTGACGGCATGACTTGTATATTTAATATATACTATAAATTTCCGAACGTTCAATATCAGAGCGACTTTCGTAATTACGATTTTATTAAACTTTATAAACTGGCCAGTCATATACAAACTAAGAAACCGAAATATGCAATGAATTAATTCGGTATTTTATATAGGCTGAATTCTGTAATCTTCAATAGTTCAATTCAGAGTTCAATTAGTATTTAACTATTTATAAATCTATTATCTACACCCGCACTAATGTACACTGTTAAACTTTACTGACTTTGTCTTGACGTCTTTGTCCAGTATATTACCCGTGTTTTAGTAACACCTGCTGCAAACGCTTGTATAAAAGTAATCAAAACATCGTGAAATATTTTAGGTGATATTGTTCGATTTTACTACACTGTATTTCACTGTCTGTTCAAAACAGAACAATAGCTCGACAAATTCTAATAGATTTTACAATTGTTCCATATTGTAAATTTGTGGACTGGTAGCTTATATGTATAACAAATATATCTCTCAGCTCTCGCAGATAATCGGCTTATTAAAGATATGAATACGTACAAATCAAGATATGAAATGTTCAAGATTAAATGTTTTGAAACTTTTGACGACCCAAGCCTCAAGGTCAGTCAAAGGTCAAGCCCCACAATTTTCGTGGGTAAAGCTGTGATTGGCTAATTTTGAGGAAAGGAATTCTTGGCCAAAGTAAGCATACCTTACGTGAGGGCACAAGCTACTACCCGCTAAGTAGGTATGCATAGGAGACTAATGGCAATGTCGCATATTTTTCCATTGCACGAGGCTTATTTCACAATATTACTATTTGATTTTGGAGGAAAACTATCAAAAGAATTATATTTTTGAAGGTATGTTGATAAAAATACTTATTTGAACGTTTGAATACTTTCATTTATATATGTAAATGAACGTGATAGTCTGTTTTTATATTAAAAATACATTATAAAAATTCGAATTCTATCTCGTCTAGGTGTATATATTTTGTTGTGTGTTCGTGGCGATCATTTGGTCAAATCAAGTCAAAATTAAAGGAGCCGTTCATATTATGTTTTTCAAAAAAGCAGTGAATTGTGAACTCTGTGTAACTGTACCAAACTTGCTAGCTATGTGTGAAGTTGTGAACTAGCTATATTTTATACTTTTTAATATACTAGCGAGGTTGTGATCTTGCTAGCTGGGCAATCGTCGACGGTTGGCAATAATAAAGTTGTATCACTTGTATACTGATTCTGTCAAAAGATCAAGCCAACAAGGTATTGTATATCAAATTTTACAAATATGTAGGTTGTATGTAAATTAGAAAATTGTCAATAAAAATAGTTGTATATTATATATATTTATTATATTACAGTAAAATGATTATTGATATTGTTATTACTTAATTATGGGAATATGATATGCAGTAATTAAGCCGTGTATAAAAGAACCAGTGAATTTTGACTTCAGGCTGAAGTGGTTCGTATATTGTCTTACTTCACACTATACTTTTTTATATTCAACACATTGTATTTTGGGTGCTCAATTGCCCAAATTTCAGGCTAGTGGTTCTTAACCTACAGGGAAACGTCTGAGGAAACATCGAGAATCACAAATGTTTCTGCAACGTTTCCTAGTTTGCCCATAGCTTAAGACCAGCATTCCTCGCAGGCATCAAGCCTTGTGACATCATTATGCATAAGGTCAAATGAGCAGTATGATGTCCAAATTGTAACACACAATTGTACACAAATGAAAAATTATTTGACTTTTTTCCATAATGCTCACAATTTCTTTCTTATTATATAGTTTTACAGTTCTGACTGAGTACAATCTTAATCATTTATAAAAAGAATGGTGTCATATGAAGCTGACATATTAAACAATTGCAATCTTAATCATTTACACAATGAATGGTGTCATATGAAGCTGACGTATTAAACAAAAATGTCAACAAAATAGATTTTGTCTCCCCATCGGCAGATTGTTCTGTTGTTCTGCGGTAGTGGTAGTTTTGAAAGTACCATTAAAATGATAATTGAGGCAAAACCTGACTTACTGGTAGTATTTCTATGTATGAAATTGTTATTAAATTCTGCATATCAAATGATTCATTTAAGTATTAATTATTATCATTTGTTATATATGATATTGTACAGTATTCAGTGGCAAGCTAGCCATGGCAACTGGTTATGATATGCCAATAAACCTGCATCAATTTGAATAATGCAAATCATTAAAAACTTGCATAGCATGACCTGT